TATTCTTTAGAAAAACTGGAAAAAAAAATTTAAACAGTAATTTTAAAAAAAGCTACTTTTAATTTGGTATAGATTGAAATTAAACAGAGTTTCACTGGAATAATATAAATTGGAAATGTTTACTACCAACCATCCCCCCCACCCACCCCCAAGAAAAGTTCTAGAAGACATGGCAGTTTTCTTATCTATAAAAGAAACTGAGATTTTTTAAAGAATTAATCTCATTAATATATAAATTTCTATTGATAAGTTTTGTATTTAATATCAAATAACAAGTACATGTATATATTTAATTTTGATTTCTAGTATGTAATTGCCGTGATTGGTTTTACATAGCGAGGGCTCGTATTGGATTTCTTTGTTTCGTATACTTTATTGACTTTATTCAAATAAAAAAAAATATATATATATGTACTTAATTACTTAATTGTAATCAATTTTATCAAAATAATATGTTGGATTTTCTCGCATACTCGCATTACTTACTTCTAACAGCTCGTTCTGGATCAAGTCAGAGGCCAAATATGAAACAACTCTAGACTTATTTCCTTTAAAACATATGCGATGATTTTACAAACGACGATTTGATTGGTCGATAGAATTGGACATCTTATGTGACCCTCTACGGAATGTTGTTAATTGTAAGTAAAGGGAGTATGCGAGCGGTTCTTACATCTATTTTTAATTAAATTGGGTTGTAATATGGTTTAAATTAAAACTGATAAAGTAAATAGATTTTCTTTCTGTAATTTCATCAGAATCGTAGCAATTTTGTAAAAAAAAAATGTATTCTAATTAATTGAGATCGAGATCTATTCTACTTAATCGTAATTTCTATTTTTTATCTATTTCAGTTTTTAAATGATTGTTTATTTTTTTTCTTTCCTGTACAAATATATTCCATGAGTATATTTAACATTCACAATTGCTCCTTTAAGATGATTAAGTGTCATATTCATTTAAATAAAACTACATAGTACGTGATTCTTTCTTTCATATATATATATGATCATATTAATAAACAGTTAGCACCAAAATACGATATGTACAGTCAAACCATATGAATAATAATACTAAGAGCTTTTGGTCTTTAAATAATGAATTCATATGTCAAAAAGACTTAAGAGATTCATAAAATAATATTGGGTGTGGCATACCTCCGCAAAAACAACAGTTAAGCTTAACAACGATATGTATGAAAATAAAAAAAAACTTTCGCATAGTATGTTTGGATAAATTCAAGGACGTTTTTTATTATGTCCATATTTTTACACTGAATGCACTTGCGTATGAAAACAAAGTATACGTGGGAATTAGAATTTTATTCCGAAAAACAACTGCTACCCATCCGATATCATTCACATGATTAAATTAATGACATTATTTAAAAAAATAGATTTAATTGATTATTATCCAAATTTAATTGAAAGAAATGCAAATAAAAACTTAATGAATAATTTGTTAAATATTCTTATGTAACTTAAACAAATTCAGATATAAAAAATTGACTTTGTGTGCTAAACTCTGTGCAGTATATTTAACCATGTCCTGTAAAAAAAACAAACCATGTAATAGTATTTCTTTTTTAATATACTAGCAAGTCGGTTCAGGCTTTTAAAATGTTACAAATGTTCCATGAAAATTGTCATTCCAAGATGATGAAAAAAATACGATTATATGTAGCCACTGACATGTTACTTTTGAATAATGGAACAACTAGTAATTTATAAAAAGATAATAGAAAAATTGACATTAACAGGAGCATAAAAATGAAATGAGATGAAATCAATGAAATGAAAGTAAACACGCTTACTGAACATATGTCCTACTTTCCTGCACACCTGAACATATGTCCTACTTTCCTGCACACCTGAAGATAATGAACAATGGTGTTTACACCTGCAAACACAAACGTTATATATAATTGTATCGTTTTACTTTCATGGAAAATACTGTGAAAACCGTCTAATCCGACACCTAAATAATCCGACACACTGTGGATTCCGACGTTAAATGTCTTCCTTTCAAAAAAAGTATGTCATGTCTGTTGGTTACCTGTCATTCATCTATATTTTCCTAGTAAGATCTCCACAATATGCTTCTTTCTTCGTTCAAGGTTTGCCATGTTATCATTCTACAGTGGATGCAAGTTTTTAGCTCACCTGGGAATAAGAATTGTTAAAATCAAGTGCCAAGACTCCTTCCAAGGGGAGATAATCAAGAAATAACGCAAAAAGGGTGGGGTCATTAAAAAATCTTCTTCTCAAGAACCACTGGGCCAGGAAAGCTGAAACTTCTGTGGGAGCATCCTTGGATAGTGTAGATATTAAAATGTTAAAATCATGACCCCCGGGGGTAGGGCGGGGCCACAATAGGGAATTCAAGTTTTACATAAAAATATAGAACAAATTTTTAAAAATATTCTACTCAAGAACCACTTGGCCATGAAAGCTGAAACTTATGTGGAAGCACTCTTGGGTAGTGTAGATATAAAATTTTTAAAATCATGACCTCCGGGGGTAGAGCGGGGCCACAATAGGGAATCCAAGTTTTACATAGAAATATATAGAACAAATATTTAAAAATCTTCTTCTTAGAAATCACTGGGCCAGGAAAGCTGAAACTTATGTGGAAGCATCCTTGGGTAGTGTAGATATTAAATTGTTAAAATCATGACCTCCAGGGGTAGGGCTGGGCCACAATAGGGAATTCAAGTTTTGCATAGAAATATATAGAACAAATCTTTAAAAATCTTCTTCTCAAAAACCACTGGGCCAAGGAGCTGAAACTTCTGTGGGAGCATCCTTGGATAGTGTAGATATTAAAATGTTAAAATCATGACCCCCGGGGGTAGGGCGGGGCCACAATAGGGAATTCAAGTTTTACATAAAAATATAGAACAAATTTTTAAAAATATTCTACTCAAGAACCACTTGGCCATGAAAGCTGAAACTTATGTGGAAGCACTCTTGGGTAGTGTAGATATAAAATTTTTAAAATCATGACCTCCGGGGGTAGAGCGGGGCCACAATAGGGAATCCAAGTTTTACATAGAAATATAAAGAACAAATTTTTAAAAATCTTCTTCTTAGAAATCACTGGGCCAGGAAAGCTGAAACTTATGTGGAAGCATCCTTGGGTAGTGTAGATATTAAATTGTTAAAATCATGACCTCCAGGGGTAGGGCTGGGCCACAATAGGGAATTCAAGTTTTGCATAGAAATATATAGAACAAATCTTTAAAAATCTTCTTCTCAAAAACCACTGGGCCAAGGAGCTGAAACTTCTGTGGGAGCATCCTTGAGTAGTGTAGATATTCAATTGTTCAAATCATGACCCCCAGGGGTAGTGTGGGGCCACAATAGGGAATCCAAGTTTTACATAGAAATATATAGAACAAATCTTTAAAAATCTTCTTCTCAAGAACCACTGGGCCAGGGAAGCTGAAACTTATGTGGGAGCATCCTTGGATAGTGTAGATATTAAATTGTTAAAATCATGACCCCCAGGAGTAGGGCGGGGCCACAATAGGGAATCCAAGTTTTACATAGAAATATATATAGAAAAAAATCTTTAAAAAAGATCGGCATCACTCAAGTTACTCAGGTGAGCGATGTGGCCCATGGGCCTCTTGTAAAATAATACTGTATCTAAAAGTGAGAAAATGATAATATCATCACCACAAAAAGATATGCAGCATTATCATTTCAATACAGGGAGCGTTGTCCCATTGTTTAACTCTACCACAGGAAGGTTAACTCGTCCTCTTCTACTGACAGGCCAGCCCCAATTTCACTTTGTTTGTGGAGGTTTTGCTTGTTTGATTAAATGTTGTTTAATATCAGGATCAACTCCTTATTCCGCGATTATTGAGTAGACGTTCTAACAAACTGCACTACGATGACGACGTTTGTGGAGTAGATCAAGGTTTTTAAAACGGATTTTAATAGATTTATTTTGAAATAAATTCCAGGATAAGAATTATCATTTTTGTTTTGGAAATTAATTTTTCTAATGACTTTTTATATCAGAAATATTTTAAATTTAAAATCTAGTATATTTTACATATATTATTAATATACATGATATAAGCCACAATTAATTTCATTATTTTTGAAAAAGTATGATATGAACATCAAAAATCTACTTTTAATTAACATGAAGACAGTTTCATTTTTGTAGAAGCAGATTTCTACATAGAATAAAGCAACACATTTACATTAAAGTAGTTATCTTTCAAATTTTTAACCTTGATATTGTCCCTACTTGTTAAAAAGCAACAAATGATAAAGTTTATCTAAAGTCATTTATGTTACTAATTGTACTAATAAGTACCGTAAATCTGGATATTTTTACGTCGATTTTATTTTGCGAATCTTGGTCAAAAAGCTAATGATTAATTTTTACGATTCATCATTTTGCAAATGATCACTACTTTGTTTACACTTTCTTATTGTAAAATGTTAAATTAATTTTAAGAAAAAAAATTGCGAATGCAACAAACTATTTCGAATTTGCTAAAACTTTAACTACAGCAAAAATTCCAGATTTACGGTATATCAAGCCATGTTAACAACAGAGTTCTAAATGTAAGTTTGAAACACACTGTTCTAATAATCCGGGGACAGGTAGGTCAGCAGTATATTCCCATCGTGTGGAGTTTATTTATTCAAACACTCGTTACAAAATAAAATGTGGGACATTAAACTTAAAATAATAAGTATATCGTCTCAGTTTTTATTTCATTCCCACGGGAAAAGTTTAAGTAAAAAAATTATATTATTCTTAAACTAAGTGAAATGTGAAAGTAAAAAAAAACCTCATGCCCCAACCCCACAACTATATACTTAATATTGTATTGGTTTATATTTTGAACTTTACATCCCTCCATATATTTATAGTCAGGGTTATGGTGAATGCATATTTGTAATCAGAAATAAAATTGCGACAAACACATCAGTATCGTGTAAGTGGAAACAGGATAACACTACTTCATGAGTCTGTCGTCAGAAAAAAAGGATAAGGCAAATAGTTTTTACAGCCGCCCGACATTTAAAATGTTCAAACACAACTCCATATTACATCTGTGTACAGTAGAAGGTCTGATATATATGTAAATACATTTTGTGCCATTGGATTGTTATTATGTTCTGATTTTCTGTGCTGCTGATTAGTTATTTACTTTCGTGAGAAATGGATTAAATATATGATATTTACTTTCGTATGAAGTCTATTTAATATTCATAATTGTGTGTAGTCAAATTAAAATTTACATTCAGGAGCTATCATTCTTGTTCGACATCCTTTTCTCATGTGCCATCAACGTGATATTTAAGTATAGCGCCGGCTTAATACTGTTTGTACTTTTTTGTGGATATGGCAGCTGTGTTGTCCTCAATTATATCTAATTTGTATGGTGTCGAAATTTATGCAGTGTTTTACATTTTCTGCTGTCAATCAAATTCTTTCTATGTGCAATCACGTGATATCTAATTGAAATCATTTGAAAAAAGATGAAAAGGATACAATTTTCCCCGTGAAAGGTAAGAAATTTAAATTTCTCTCTCTCTCTCTCTCTCTCTCTCTCTCTCTCTCTCTATCTCTCTCTCTCTCTCTCCCTTCTCTCTTTACCTCTATCTCGCTGTATGTAGAGTCACTAAGTAAGTAGTCAATGCTTACATCGCAGGTTCGAATCCCACTGCGGGACGTGGAGACTGATCCTTCGAATGAGACCGTATAGACCGAGGTCCCGTGTCGCAGTAGGTGCTGGCGCTAAAAAGATCCCTCACTGCTCCAAGGCCCTGAGTGAAGCCCTCCACCGGCAAGTGGTGGCGTCTCTATATAAGTGAAAAATTCTCGAGAGGGACGTTAAACAACATACAATCAAAAAATCAATCTCTTTGTATGTTCCTTCTGTCAGAGCACCGTAAAATCATAAATTTTAAAAAAAGAAAACTTTGATGTATCCATCAATTGATAAAGAGAAGATAGTCGGAAATATTTTGAAAACTTATTGTCAGATAGAAATCAAACAAAAACGATACCATTTTTATCTTGATCAATTCCTTAAGTAAATGTTGGCTGCATAAAATATAAATTGAAGTTAGACAAATTCATCGCCTATATTATAAAAAGTATTAATTGTCAATTTTAGAATATAAAACATGAACTGTGCAGAAATCCTTTTTAATGTGAGATTTAAAATTCGATATTCTAAAAAAGGGATCTTTTTTTTCGATAGTAAATGATAAGCAACTTTATATATTAAATATGAAAAAAAAAAATTTACAGATTCACTTTATGGAAGTAAATATATTGTGTATCTTGTAATTTATAAACAAAAAGAACATCTGATGAACTATCTTTTCAATTTTCAGAAAACCTTAAATTTTTCAAAACTTCTCCCACCCCAATCCTCATATACCAACACTTTAACATATATGTATAGAGCAGCAAGGTCCTTTGGATTGCAAAAATATTTACTTTTGGATGCAAAAAAAAAAAAAACAACAAAAAAACCCAGAACATTTATGTATTTTGAAATTACTGTTTATCGATTGAATTATAACATTTTATAAACCCCCCTTTTTTTTTAAAAGAAGACATTTTACCGGTATCTTTTTTTAATTAAAAAAAATTTAAAATGTATTTTAAAAAACAGTATCTGATATTTAACAAATCTTTCCTTAATATTCTGTAAATTAAAAAAAAATTAATTTAGAAAAACTGGAAAACAAATTTTTAAAAGTAATTTCAAAAAAATGTTACTTTTTACATTTTTAATTTTTACATTTATTTGTTATAATTTGAAATTAAACTGAGTCTGACTGGAATAATATAAGTTGGAAATGTTTACCAATATCTAAAAAAATAAAATACTAGTAGAAATGGCAGTTTTCTTACCGAAAAAAAGAAACAGAGATTTCTTTCTTTTTTTTTATTTTTAAAAGAATTAATCGATAAATATAAAGATTTCTATTGATATGTGCTGTATTTAATATTGTATAACAAGTTCATATTCAATTTTTTATTTTCTAATACATGTATATAATTGCTGTGACCGGTTTGCATTGGATTTCTTTGTTTCCTATTCTTTATTGAGTTTATTCAAATTAATTTAAAAGAAATATATGTATTTTTTTTTCGCTTGTAAAATCAATCTTATTAAAATAATATGTTAGATTTGCTCACATACTCGCATTACTAACATCTAACATCGCGTACACGGTCAAGTCAGAGGCCAAATTCAAAACAACTCTGGACTTATTCGCTTTAACACATATACGATGATTTAACAAAGGACGATTTGATTGGTTGATAGAATTTGACATCTCATGTGACCCTCTACGGGATGTTGTTAAAAGTAAGTGACGCGAGTATACGAGCAGATCTTACATCTATTTTCAATCAAATTGGGTTGTAATATGATTTAAATTAAAACTGATAAAGTAAATAGATTTTCTTTCTGTAAATCATCAGAATCGTAGCAATTTTGTAAAATAAATTATTCTTAGTAATTGAGATCGAGATCTATTATATTTCATCGAAATTTCTATTTTTAATTTTATTCCAGTTTTTAATTTATTGCTTAATATATTATTTTTTTCTTTCCCATACAAATATATTCCATGAGTATATTTAGCATTCACAATTGCTTTTCAAAATGATAAAATTTCATATTTATTTAAATAAAACTACATAGTACGTGATTTTTTTCTTACATATATTCTCAGATTTTTATACATGATTATATACGTAAACAGTTAGCACCAATATATTTTATGTGCAGTCAAACCATATGAATGATAATACTAAGAGCTTTTAGTCTTTAAATGCTGAATTCATGTGTCAAAAAGACATTTAAGAGATTCATGAAATAAAATTGGATGTGGTATTTACAGGTGCAAAAAATTAAGTTATGATTATCAATTTTGTGTATGAATTTTATTGTAAAAATAGAAAATTATCTTTCTCATAGGATACATTGGGATTTAATTTGAACTTAGGTAAACAAGTTTTTTTATTTAATTATGGTGAGCTTTTTTGACATTTCCTGAATGCACTTTTTTATAAAACAAAGTTTGTGTGATAAATTAGCCCTAATTTTAAACATTGAAAAACAACTGCTGCCCCATCCCCGATATTATATGCTTGATTTAATTAATGACATTATTAAAAAAAAGATTTAATTTGTTATATTGATTACTGAGATAAAGCTAACACTATTTTTCTTACGGAAATACATTTTTTAAAACCTTTATTAATTCATGAATACATGTAATTAGTGTTTATTAATTTTAAATATTTCATATAATTTAAACAAATTTACATGTCATATAAAATTTGACATTGTTTGCCTACAACTGGCTGAGCAGTATATTTGACAAAATTTGTCTTTAAAAAAAAATATATGCTTGAAATTCTTTTGAACAGCTTATTCATAACCTTATTTCTTTGTAACAATTTTTTAAACGATAATTCTTTTTTTTTCATCTTTTTGGTCATTTTTTTTAATGTCGCCAATTTCTTACTTCTAATTTTTGTCACGGTTTTTTAGATGCCCTTTTCGTGATCAGTTTTGTACATATTTTATTATGCTACACCCTTGTCCGTCCGTCTGTCTCTCTGTCGTTCTGCACATGTCTGTATCTATTTGTCTGTTTGTTTTTTTCTCTACCTTTTGTCTGTTTCCAGACAAAGATTTACTACTGTTAACACTTGAGTTCACTATCGTTAACTATAGTAAATACTTTGATTTACTGTAGAAACAATACTGTAGAACTTTTTCGAAGATTAGAGCCTGAATATTTCTTGAATTATACACAATTGTTTTGAAAAAAAAATATATGTATATATACCAGATTTTTTTCGTTTTAGAAATTTATTTGTAGAAATTTCAAACCAAAAAATTAAAAAGATATATCTAAAAATTTGATTTGAGTTAGGTATGATGAACTATTGTAATCTACACCTCTTTTTCTTAGGATATGTACACAGACATTTTAACATTAGCCGTAACTTGTGAAATTTTGGAGCTATATCTCTCATGATTCAAACACATGGATTTCTTTGACAAGGTCCTACGTGGGTATGTTAAGGCAGTACATGGACCAGAATTCGGCGAATTAGGACTTTTTATAATTAAGTTACACTAATAAATCGGAAAAGTCAAGCATAAAACTTTTGTTATATATTTGCATTCTATAGACTTCAATTTGGACTTATACTACATGAAGCACTTCACCACGACTTCACCACGTGACGTCTATAATTAGAAAATATGCCTTAATGAAAAAGTGAAAAGTTCAACACAACCCCGGGAATAATTAAATTTTTTTAACAGTTTTCATGATAATTTCTTTGTAAAAAAATCTTTAATAAAAAGTTTTTTTTCTACTTTTTGGTCATAATTATTTTTGTGACGAAACCTTCGCAAAATTTTTACATTTTGTTCATAACATCTTAACAAATCATTAATTCCCACAAACCATATTATGCTACACCACTTTTCAAAAACAATAGAATCTCTGAACTTCTGTTGAAACAAATATTTCTGTTTCAAAGTGTGCTCTCTAGTTTGAACTTTTGTATCTTATTTGTTACGAACACTTGAGTTCAGGCTGATCGGCTAAGTAAACACTTTGATTTAATTTTAGAAAAATTGTTGAAGTATATTACCATACCTTATTCATAAGCTTTATTCCCAATGAATCACACATGATATTTTGTAAAAAAAATTGTATATATATATACTCTGCTACTGCATGATCAACAGTTTTTGGGTTTGGTAAATTTATTTGTAGATAATTTCAAACAAAAAAATTAAAAATATATCTGTTTGATTTGCCTCTAAGTATATTTTGATTAATTTTTACACCTCAAATCAATCTTAGATATGTTATAAGAAATTGTTAACATTGGCCGTAACTTTTAAATTTTGTAGCTATAGCTCTCACGATTCAAAAACATGTATTTCTTTGACAAGGTCCTGCGTACGTTGAATACCAATATATTTACCTTTTTTGGTCTTGACCTAAGAGTTTGACCACTATTTCAAGAATTTGCCCCACTATAACCTCGCTCACAAAGTTTACAAAAATTGTGTTACGACCTTAATACTGCACACGTGCATTTTTTGTCACATTATCTTTCCATCGATGTAAATTTGCTTGGAATTTATATTTTAAACTTTGATTCAAACCAACTTTGAAAAAGAAACCTTTGGATATAACACTTGTAGCCTCAACACAAGGGCATTCATATGTTACAGGTGTATTTCTTGTGACAAGGCCTTTCTTTGAATATCAACAATTTGAGCTCTTGACCTATGAGTTTGATATAAATAAATCCAGGCAAACTTAAACCTTGGTCAGATCTTTTGAACATTTAGTGTAAGAGCTTTAACATGTAAGGTATTTTTTCAGGATAAAAGTTTTCCATGGTATAATTTTTTTTACCCCTTGACTTTTAAGTTGTATCCAACTCAAAAGGTACCCCCACAATATTGTATTTATTTTTGCTAGTCTGTGTATGCATATGAGGT